TTATCACGGCGTAAGCAATTATTTCGGACATTATCGTTAGATTCTTTATTAAAATTTTCAACTGCCATTACCGTATATTTAACAATCTCTTAAGATGTAAAGATATTTTTGAATAAACAATTGTAGTCCTAAAAAGAAAACATCGTAACATCGTACAAACATCGTACATAGTAGATTTATCACAATTCCTAAACTCATCTCTACAAATATTATATATTGTTTTTTTTTTGTTTTTCGAAAACCCTTCTTTCTTTATAAATCATTATGGCCAATATATAAATGATTAGAAAAATATTTCACTATACAATGGCGTCTCGCTAAACTACAATCCATCCTTCTCTCTCTCTCTCTCTCTCTCTCTCTCTCTATCTCTCTCTTCAAGCAGCCCTTAACATACTCCATATAATTTCCAGCAACTCGGAGCATATGAATATGAAGGGTCAAATTAGCAGGATCACTGTCGAGTCTCGAAAGTACCGTGCAGTCTTTGAAAATCCAATAAGCGTAAAAAGCAAAAAAAAAACAAAAACAAAAACAAAAAAAAAAAGAAGGAAGATGGAGAGAAAAAGCATGGGAAAGGAGTGTAGCCGAGGACTCGTGACGTGCGGGATGCTGGTGAAGCTCGGCCGTAACACTCACCACTAAGCGAGAGTCTGGCAATAGGAGAGCCCAATTAAAGTTTCGGAAGTCTTGCGAGGCCAAACTTAAATGCGCCCATTGGCTGTATGCCCACGACACCTTCTGCACTCATCCCGAACTCGGGTCGGAGGGGGGAGGGGGAGTTGTCGTACCTAGCAACGACGTCGAGACGTAACGTTCGAGGTTAAGTAAGCGCGCGGAGCCTCGCGATTCCAATGGCAGCAACCCTCCGACGGTTGAACTTCGCGTTAAACGCCGCCCCCGCGTTCCCCCGCCACCGCGGAGCTCGATAAAACGGAACCGCGGCATCATTTCGACTCGACTTTCCACTTAGACGGCGCCGACTCCTCGACCGCAACGATATGCTTTCAACCCAAGCCGCCACTTAATAGGTCACTGCAGCTCATTGATAGAATGTCGGAGTCTGCGCGGGGTTAACGGAGGACCGATCGTGGGATTTATCATTGGAAACGGGTATCGAGACATAGTCGATCTGCTGGTTCGGCGATTTCCGCTGATTCCACGAGCATCGCCGATCTCCCTCTCCTCCTATATGCATTAGTGTCCATAGCGTCGTAATACACCCACGCGGTATCTTACAAATAGCACAATTTTACCGCGGTTTTCTTAAAATCGCCAATAATAATAAAATAATTTAAATAATTATAAAAAAAATAATTATAAAATAAATAATTATAAAATAAATAATTATAAAATAAATAAATAATAATAAAATAATAAATAATTTAGTAATAGTGCAAGCTTTTTCTTGTACTTGTATTTTTTATTCTACATTGCAATATTGATAATTGCAAAATGAGATTGATTAACGTGTAAAGTATATATCAGCATAACGAAACGTAGTTGGATAGAAATTAGCTAATCAGAATAATCGTGCATAAAATAGTTTTCTTGGACGATGCCGGAATCGATAAAACGTCAATAGGGTGAAAGGAAGAAGATAGAGATAGAGAGACAGAGAGAGAGAGAGATAGAGAGAGAGAGAGAGAGAGAGAGAGAGAGACCGCACTTAAAACTGGAACGAATTAATAGATTTGTTAGTATAATTTATAATCATTTAGGATAACAATGCTTGGGAAGACAAATAATTTTTATTCATTCGTAAAATTTTACGAGCAACTTGTTAAATGCATATAACCAGCGGTACTTTCCATTACTTCCTTCGTCATTTGTGGTTTGTTCATTATGGGCTCAAATAAACTTTTTCTTTCTTTTTTTTATAGGCACTAGCAGCTAGTGAGTAAAATGTGTCGCGGCTATATGAATTTCTCTCGAAAACTCTTGACAATTTACTGTTAAGTGTTGGACAGTTAATGAAATGTCGACTCGCATTCGTTTTAAGAAACTCCCAATCTGCCAAGCCAAACTAACGAATGATTAATTGGCATGGCCATTGCGAATGATATCGTACTTTCGTTAATACGGGGGTGCAGCGTGTAAAGCGAGAAACTAACGGAGGTGGCAAATAAAGCGGAGGAACCGATCGCAGAGAATGAAACTCGGCATCGTTGCGCAACGACTACTAACGCACGCTTATCGTCATAGAACGCGGACTTGTGAGAATTCGAATCCTCGCTCTCGAGTGCGCATCCTGTTGAAAGGCTTTTTCCAAGGGAACGGCGCGTGGCTTCGATCGCATCCTCACTGAAAACCCGCTCCCCGATTATTAAGGATGAGCGCTAGTAGGCGCGGGATTCGCTCCATCGAGGCACGTGGCGAATTAGCGTTGGGAAATAAAGGGATCGATGTGTGGAGGTAAGAGAGGCGCCGAGGAGTAAAAGTTGGAAAAAGGGAGTCCATCGGTCTTTGGCAGTGTTATGCCGTCGTGGGCGAGCAGCCACCACAAGTCACGGACTATATATCCCAGAGATCACAGCTGCAGCAGCTCGCCTGAAGATCATGTTTCTTTCCCTCGTTCCTCCTTATCTTCGCGTTGTCTGCATCCACGGCGATCCCACTCTTGCGTGGAGACCCCTTGCAGGCGCGCGCGCGCGCGCGAACGCACACGTCCTCGCAGACACTCTTGGCCCGTGGGTGGGGTGAGGAAGTGGGAGCGGGAGAGGGAGAGGGAGAGAAAGAGAGAGAGAGAGAGAGAGAGAGAGAGAGAGACGGCTACACCGTTTCTTTGGCAGTCCGCGGTTTTAGCGTACGTGGTCGGGTCAACGCCGAGGTCGGAGTACGGGCTCGGTGGCGGGGAGCGAACCTCACCTACGTCACACGCGCGCAGCTCAAGGGTAGAAACGAGCGAGGATCCCACGCAAAAAGAGGAGCGCGTGCGTACGAGTCGTCGGCTCGACGTGGGGTGGCGGCTCGGCTGCCGCGGCAGGGTGACGGTGAAGGGGCGACGTGGATAGGAAACGCCACGACGGGGTAAATGAAGAGAGGGGTAAGGGGTTCGGTGGCGGGTGGGATTGGGCGGGGGAAGGGGGACATACACGCGAGATCCCGCGAGCTCCGGATCTCTGCCGTCGGTGGGGATAATTAAAGCGACACACGCGCGCGATCGCAGGCTCGCGGGGTGGGCGGCGGGGCTTCGCGTGTGTGCACTCCGGTTGCCATGGGCGACGGCCACCGGATCCGGCCAATCCTCTCGTGGCGCGTGGGCGTGGCCTCTCATTGGCCGCCGCCACCGTCGGGGGAGGCCGCGCCGCATGGGATAGGCGCTCGAAGCTCCCGGGGCAGGTCTACGCGCTGTGCGCGCGAGCGAGACGGAGCGACGACCGGCCTGCCCCCCCCCCCCCACCGGTACTCCTCGAGCCTCGAGCTGGTTCGAGGAGCGGCCAGCGGCAGCGGCAACGGGAACGCGCGCCCGGCTCGAAGGCTGGCGCACAAACGTATCATGCCTGGGTAGGGCCGGCACCGAGATGCCGGCTTGTAAGCGAAACCAGTTTGCTATCCGATACGATCGAGGCAACAACGCCAGCAGCAGTAGCAGCAGCAACAGTAGTAGCAATAGCAACAGCAGCAACAGCAACAGCAACAACGTTAGCAGCATCTCCATCACCAACATCATTATCACTGCCGCCACCGCTACTACCACCGCCATCGCCATCACCACCGCCACCACCACCACCACCACTACCACCGCCATCGCCACCGACATCGCCACCGCCACCGCCGCCACCACCGCCACCACCGCCACCACCGCCACCACCGCTACTGGATCTTTGTATGCTAGGCGTCAATGATGATCCCTTTGCCGATACTTGCTTGACCACTCGGCCGAGCTTATATACGGATCCTAAGGTCAGCAGCAGCAGCAGCGCCACCATCATCACCATCAGCAGCAGCAGCAGCAGCAGCAGCAGCAGCAGCAGCAGCAACAACAACAACAACAACAACAAGCGCAGCAACAACAACAACAGCAACAGCAGACAAAGCAGCGGCAGCAGTAGCAGCGGAGGCTCAAGCTCCAACTCGGACACTGGCATCGCTTCAGACGTCCTCCGCTGGTCGCGACGTCGTGCCCGGAACTAGCGCGTTCGCTCGGACGTCCACCACGACGAGTGTGCCGAACGCGTAATCGTCCCGGGACTATGACGAGTACGAGAGGCGAGAGACTCGGAGGCGACGGACCCGAGTTGCCGTCCAGGGCGGTGACTAGCTGCTCGTAAGGCGTTCTCGAATACGCGATAATAATTCGCAGTCATGAAAAGACTTAAAGCAGCGTGCTGGTCACGTGCTCTGCAAGTGTCAGTGTGATAATCCAGTGGTCGCGCAATGAAGGCCCCAGTGTCGTCGGCGCCCTAAGACCCGTCCCGTCTCCCCCAGAGTCCAGGACTCCCGAGCTCGCTCACCCTCCTAATAGTGAGTTGGTAAGCGACTGAGTAGAGACAATACGAGAGACTGTTGAATAGGGAGAGACAGAGAGATAAGAAGCGAAGATAGCGAGAGAGCAGAGAGAGAGAGAGAGAGAGAGAGAGAGAGAGAGAGAGAAAGAGGAAGTGCAGAACAGAGTAGAACAGAGTAGAGCAGAGTAGAGCAAAGTAGAGCAGAGCAGAGCAGAGTTGAGTAGAGCAGAGTTGAATAGAGCACAGTTGAGCAGAGCAGAGCAGAGCAGAGCAGAGCAGAGCAGAGCAGAGCAGAGCAGAGCAGAGCAGAGCAGAGCAGAGCAGAGCAGAGCAGAGCAGAGCAGAGCAGAGCAGAGCAGAGCAGAGCAGAGCAGAGCAGAGCAGAGCAGAGCAGAGCAGAGCAGAGCAGAGCAGAGCAGAGCAGAGCAGAGCAGAGCAGAGCAGAGCAGAGCAGAGCAGAGCAGAGCAGAGAAAGAGAGAGAGAGTCTAAAGCCGAGAATGCTCGCTTCCGCGAGCATCTAATTGTCTGCGGCGACAACTCGTCAACCCGGGAGTGCGCGCAATGTCGGCGGTGGCGCCCGCGGGCCCCGGGGCCGCTGTCTCGGTGCCGAGCGCCGGTAACGGTCCCATCGTGCCATCTCCGGTCTTCGCCCTGCCGACACTCTCCTTCACCGTCGGCCAGGTGGCCACGGTATGCGAGACTCTCGAGGAGTCCGGCGACATCGACCGGCTCGCGCGCTTCCTCTGGAGTCTACCCGTCGCCCACCCGAACGTCCAAGAGCTGAATCAGAGCGAGGCCGTCCTGAGAGCCCGAGCCATCGTCGCCTTCCATTGGGGCAACTATCGCGAGCTCTACGCGATCCTTGAGAGGCACAAGTTCACCAAGGACTCGCACGGCAAGCTCCAGGCAATGTGGCTCGAGGCTCATTATAAGGAGGCGGAGAAACTACGTGGCAGGTCTCTCGGGCCCGTGGACAAGTATCGCGTGCGCAAAAAGTACCCGCTGCCCCGCACGATATGGGACGGCGAGCAGAAAACCCACTGCTTCAAGGAGAGGACCAGGTCCCTCCTGAGAGAGTGGTACCTACAGGATCCCTATCCAAACCCCGGCAAGAAGCGCGAACTCGCTGCGGCCACGGGACTCACGCCCACGCAGGTCGGCAACTGGTTCAAGAATCGTAGGCAGAGGGACAGAGCGGCCGCCGCTAAAAACAGGTAAGAGATCACCTTCGTACCCCTCGCGTCCCAACATCCAAGCTCTCCTACCGATGCCGTAAATCTTAATCTCCCCGCCTACGGGGACTCCTTGCGTCCTTTTTCTGGCATCGGTGTCGCGTGTTCTTCACGTGGCCAAAGAGTCATGGCCGAGAGTCGTGGCCGAGAGTCGTGGCCAAGAGTCGTGGCCGAGAGTCGTGTCCGAGATATCTAGACGCGTGGCCTTTCGCACGGATTTACGATCAAGCCGATCGGGATCGCAGGCCCAGAAATTCAGCACATGGCTAATCGTCTGCCCGTACAGAATCCCAATGTTACGTGGCATGTCGGTGATTAGATCGGGATTTGCATTGTGGGTGGGTTAGTTGGGGAGGGGGATGATAGGTAACGGTGACGACAACGAATCGTTGGAAAGGATTTAGGCTCCTTAAACGGTTAAATTGAATGGCAAAGGCCTTAAATCCGCCGATATTCCGCTAGGTTCCGCTTATTATATTCAAGATCATTTATTATTATGGATATACTTTTTTTTTTTAATTTATAAATTTTTATAAATTTGTTTAGATAACAAGTCTAATTACGCTGTGTTTGGTATCTGAAAAATAATCAACTCAATATTTGTGTGTGTGTGTATGGGGGTAGGGGGGGTGTATGCGACATCCGTGAACCTAATGGATTTAAAGTATCGATTACTTGTTACCGAAATTCGTCATGCAATTTCTATAAGTTAATATAAGTGTCATAAAGCAATATCAACGAGCATTAGGACTAGATTACATATTCTCAAGAGATACACAATGTTCATATATTTCCATTTATACTGTTCAGTCTTGTTTCTTTAATGTAACTTACAATGAACGGTATTTACAAGAGAAAAAAATCAGTTTGTAATGCCTCAATGGTAATACAATATAATAACCGTTTAAGTGAATCACAATAAAGGCTAATTTTTAATAAGTACTTGGGAAAAAAAAAATTTTTTTTATTAAAAATGAAATTGAAATTGAATAATGGTAGAACAATAGCTCTTTATAATGTTTCTCCTATTCGTATTTGTGTCTCTTTAGAGATGCAATAGCAGAAAAATAATTCGAGAACATATAAACGACATTTACCGGTCTTTCGCCTATTTATTACATGAGTTGAAAAGCCAAATTTTTACTAAATTACGAATCAATGTCGTCTATTGTAGCAAATGTCAAAATTCACTTTGAATTTTTCCTCTCAATTTTCCACAATTATGGCTATAAAAGTGGCAATATTATTTTTGAAAATAGTCCTCCTCGATCAATTAATAAAATTGATAAGACAACACAGAAAATGTGTGGCTATTAACGTCAGTGTAGCTCTACAACTATCGTCAATTAAAAATATTTAGTTAAAATCATTGAAAATTAAAATTGAATTAAAATATTTCATATTAATTGATGTATCAATTATTTCTAAAGATTAATTGTTACATAATCGAGGTCTTACGACTTTCTCACACTTTTTAAATGTCATATTGATATTTGAATAACGTGGACAGACTTTTATTCGACAATTCTCCTGACATTGTTTCAATAGATGGAAATAGATAATTGATTATCCATATGTTTTTATTCATATGATTATTCATTATTATTCTACATAGTATTTATATATTGTAATTGAAATCATTAACATACATTTTGCACAAAAGCACAATAATGTCTTTATCCTATAATTCTACTGTGATATTGCATATATATATATATATATATATATATTTTTTTTTTCTTTTAATTAGTCGATTCATACTTGTTTTATATTTTCAACAAAATGTTATTCCACTTCCTTTATTTGATATGCTAAGTACGTCAAAATATGGTACAATCAATTCTTCGTACTATGCATATCGGAATAAATAAAAATTGATTAAAATTAGAGCCAATAAAGCAAATAATTCGTTAATTAGATGTAAAAATTGTGTGTGAAAGATAGTAGTATGAATATTGAATTCATACTGCCATTTTATTTAAAAACATCCTGCTATTAAATGCGAGATGACGTGCCATAATATAGTTATATTACTAAATATATCATTTACAAATTTTATTATGCCAAAGCGAATGAATATTCGATTGTTAACTTTCGTGAAATGTAAGATGTGAAATCTTTTATAATTGTCAAAATTTCTAATATCTTGATTTAAATGGACTGATAGAATTCGTATTCATCCACATCTCAATGCCACCGAAAATTCAAAATGACATCGTTTCAACATACATGATTTAACTGGTAAATTAGAAAGTATTTTATGAGCTTATCCTACCTAAAAATTCACGCCTATTGGTTTACTCTACCACTTATCCCGTCTTAAATTACAAAGGAATCAAATTTATTAAAATTCAAATACAAATAATTACAAAACCAGGACTTAATAACAATCAATTTAAATTAATTACTTGCCAATTTTTGTCAATATTATAAATCAAATAAAATTGGTTAATGCGTTAAATCATGAATACTTGAAATTCTATTCAATCCATTGTATCAAATGATTAGCGAATTAGCTAAATTAAAAATTCTTTGTATACAATGCGATTAAATTTACTGACCACGATTCCAAAGATCCCAATGCTCTATGCGATATTTCAATTGCATTCTACCTATTGTAAACTTCTCATAAAATTTCACTAGATCCTTTCGATCCTACGGTTCGTTCGCGATATCCTCTCGGCGAGGAAAATCGAGCCCCTATCGGCATTTGCAGTAGTTTTCATGTTTCATAGACACGAAGGAGCGCCCGACATATCTTCGCCCTCGTCTTCCCACCGGAATTTATATTATTGTTTATTAAATAGCGCATAATGAAAGCTAATCGCGAAACGATTAGTGGGCCCGGGATCCCCACTCGGTAACAAATTGTTGTGTTGTCCTCGGCGGTCGAGCCTTTGTGTCTTCGGTAGAGAGGAGCCGAAGGCCGAAGGGAGAGCGAGATAGAGCGAGATAGATAGAGAGAGAGAGAGAGAGAGAGAGAGAGAGAGAGAGAGAGAGGGACGGAGGGAGTGCGCGTATGCATGTGCGTGCGTGCGTGCGTGTGTGTGTGAGAATGAGATAGACAGACAGACGTAGAGACGCTCGGTCTCGACGCAAGTGCGGCGCGCATACACGAAGGGTCGCGTAATTTTATTTCGCCGTCCGACGGAGGGTCGATCCCCGTGCGCGCACCGCCGATTTTCAAATTACGTCTTTCAAATCGTATTTTCGCAAAATGTTCCGGCCGCCACGATCCGAAGGTAATCGCGAAATGCCGTGCGTCTCGTGTCTGTTTCGTAATGACGGTCGACTCGAACTCTCGGTTAACGCGACCACTTTTGCTCATTCAACGAATTTTTATATTTGGCGAACAACGACGAGGGGGGGGGGGTGAGTGTTGAAGATATGCCGTGTTGCTATAGTGAAGCTTTCGCGGGGTGAACTTTGCAGCTCGGAATGGACCAGCCAATATTTATTTTACTGATAAAGAGAGAAAGTAACTTAGCGAGTCGCCCTTACTTTATCGATTGGCAAGGAAATTTTCCCATTCTTGTACATATTCTCATTCATGAAACCGGAAGCTGTTGATGAAGACAAGTCGAGAGCTTCAAAGTCGTTTAAACTTTTCGTCGCGACTATTATCCAGCTCCTTTTTTTCATATGGCGTTAAGTTCGCTAGTTGATGTTGATTTCATCATTTCGCTAAATGATGAAATTTAAAGTCCTAATGTATGTCGTACTGGACGATTAATCCAGTGCCAAGAGGAAAAAAATTTGCTAAAACAAAATTTTAAACTGTGATATGGACTGTCGCGTTTCCGACACGTGTAATATAGCACTCCAGAATCTGATCCTTGCGAATTCCCGAAGATGAACGTCAAATTATGCTACTTTTTAATAGCCGGCCCCACTGGAATTTCCGTCAAATTTAAAAGCCTCATTACGGCTTTGAGGAAGCTCGAGCGACGAAAGCGATTCCCCATCTGGAGGATGAACGAAAAGAGAGAGAGAGAGAGAGAGAGAGAGAGGGCTTTAAGGATAAACAAAGTAAAATCCCTTCGGCGTGCAGTATGAGTTTATTTTTTACATTCACGAAAGCTATCGTGAAATCTCAATCGAGGTTTACGAGGAATCGGAGGACAGGGAAAGCCCAAGTAGCAGGAGTGCGCACCAGCAATAATCCCCTTCTCCTCCGATCGGTCACGGCATCGTCAACGCGGTCGTTAAAGGCCTCTTCTTTCTCCTCTTTCTCTTCTTCCTCCTTCTCTTCCTCCTCTTCCTCCTCCTCTTCCTTCTCCTCCTCCTTCTCATTCCTCCTTCTCATTCCTCCTACTCCACCTCCTCCTTCTCCTCCTCCTCCTCCTCCTCCTCCTCCTCCCCCAGCTCATCCTCCTCCTCAACCAAGTGCTCCTGCTACATCAGTGTGTCCTCATCCGACGCCACGGCATCCCTCGCGATCCACTCGAAACCGCCACCACCTGTCGTTTGGCCCTCTTTCTCTCTTCTTCTTCTGGCTCGCTCGCAGGTAACGACTGGTGGCCGACTTGTCGTCCTGCTCTCTCCTGAGGTCGAGAGGCAGCGAAGCCGCCGTTATTGTACCCCCGGCGAAGGGATACCGACACGGGTTTTCCCGCACGCGCGATATGCAATGGAGAAAGTGACCCGTCTCGACCTTTGATTTATAAGGGCCTCCTGGTCGGGGAAAACCCCGCGGCTTCGTTCGCTGGGTCTCGCTGAAATGTGCATATGGGCGAACGTAGGGAGAAGTGCGCATGCATTTATTAGCGGATAGTGCGAGACGTGGGGTAAATTATCGGGCCGAGGGTTGAGCGGCAACGGCTGCCGGAAAATGCCCCTTCCGAGCCTTTCGACGAAATGTCTCGAGCCTAATAGACTCGTGAGCCGTTCCGGTATATTGTTTTATAAGCTGATGGAAGGATTGTAGTTTGTAATTGTGATTATCGTTATTGCGGTAGATACAGCCTCGTTCGATCGTATGGGGCA